AAATTAAACAGAGGTAATCGAAATGGCTTGCAAAATTGTATGGTGGCTTCATGTTAGAGAAAAACTGGGAAATGCTGTCAAATACCCCACAATATGAGTATTTTTGGAATCTGGATGACTTGTACAGACCAGAAATCGATGCCTGATGCCAATTTTAAATCCAGTTTGGCGGCTTCCGGTTTCAGAAAAACTTGGAAATTCTGCCAAATACCCCACAATATGGGTATTTTTTAAATTGGAGTGACGTTTAGGAACCAGAAACCCATTTCTGACACCATTTTGAAATTCAAGATTGTGGCTTCCGGTTAGAGAAAAACTGGGAAATGCTGTCAAATACAAAATATGAGTATTTAATCGGAGTGGCGTGTAGGGACCGGAAATCAATGTTTGATGCCGTTTTGAAATCCAAGATGGTGGCTTCCGGTTACAGAAAAACATGAAAATTCGGTCAAATATCCGAGGGGGGCGACACATCTAAATCTCAATTCTAGATGCTCAACAAATCTCACACTAGCGAATCAATCTTCGAAAAATCTTCAATCATTTCTCCCATGTACTTGCATCGCACATCATCTTTTTGCAGGAAATCTTCAGAATCGTCATCAATCTTCTTTCGATCTACTCAGTGTGCATGCAGCTAACCACAGCAAAACATAATTTTTCCTACATCGTAGATAGAGTCGCCCACCTCGCAAATATCCCACAATATGCATATTTTTGGAATCGGAGTGGCGTGTAGGGACCAAAAATCGATGTCTGATGCCATTTTGAAATTCAAGATGGCGGCCTCCGGTTGAAGAAAAACTTGGAAATGCTGTCAAATACCCCACAATATGGGTAGTTTTGGAATTGGAGTAAAATTTAGGGACCAAAAATCGATGTCTGATGCCATTTTGAAATTCAAGATGGCGGCTTCCGGTTAGAGAAAAACTTTGAAATTCTGTCATATACCTACCCCACAATATGGCTATTTTTTTAATTGGAGTGATGTGTAGAGACCGGAAATCTATGTTTGCCGCCATTTTAATATCAAAGATAGTGGCTTCCGGTTAGAGAAAAACTGGGAAACGCTGGGAAAAAACCCCACAATATGCGAATTTTTGGAAATGGGGTGACGTTTAGGGACCAAAAATCCATGTCTAATGCCATTTTGATATCCAAGATGGAGACTTCCAACTATAAATAAACTGCGAAACATTGTGAAATACTCCACAATAAGGGTATTTTTGGAATTGTGGTGACGTGTGCTAACTGGAAATCTATGTTTGACGCCATTTTTAAATCCAAGATGGCGGCTTCCAGCTACATAAAAACATAACAATTCTGTCAAATACCCCACAATATGGGTATTTTTGAAATCGGGGTGGCGTGTAGGGACTGGAAATCGATGTCTGATGCCGTTTTTTAAATCCAAGTTGGTGGCTTCCGGCTACAGAAAAACATGTAAATTCTGTCAATACGGGTATTTTTTTAAACGAAGTGACATTTAGGGACCAGAAACCAATTCCTGACACAGTTTAATTTCAAAATTTGAAGACTGTTTTGAATAATATATTTAGGTAATGGGCAGCAACAACGGACAGATGAACTACTTACAGCTTTTTTTTTTTTTTTTTAAACTTTATTTTAGAGATTTTTAGCCTGAGGCTAGTTCATCTCTTAACTACTTACAGCTCCTATTTATTAAATGCTTGATATAACGATTGCCAGCAACGCCGGCTGGGCTTATCCTATGGCTTACCCTCCCTACTAACAAAAATCTACCATTCCCGTGACACTTATGAGGTTAGAGTTCTCTGCATCTCTCTTAAAGTAAGTGTCGGACTAACATTCCTCCCCTTTCCCCACCAGATGCAATGACGTGGCCAGGACAGCTCTGGTTTGTTAGAGGGAGACACATCCTTTATCTAAGGGGTAGTAATTAATCATAAATTACTATCTAACAGCAACGGATGAAGGTGGATCTCCTTCTTAACAACAGTTTGGAGCTCGTACCACCTACGACGTTGTGCAACCTGGTTTATGCTATGCTATGGATCGATGGCAAGCATTCAGCTTCATTCTCATAAGAGCGTTAGAGGGTCAAGAGGTGGAACAGGAACTGGAAACCATCAAACCAATACGGTGTTCAAGCAAATTCCACTAGATTCTGGCTCAATGTCCTTTTGAATTGTTGATTCCTTGCAGGTGTACTGAAACAAAGAAGAAACCCGATCGATGAAGAATGAAATTCCTCTCTGACTAAAGTAAATCCAGAACTGGAACGAGCGATAGTGCAATCCCACGCTAGGAGCAGGATCATTGAACCAGTTTTAAATCATCTGATCGACTCAGAAGTGTTTATCCTCAAAGATATAACCTAAGCCTATCGTATTGCTGATTACCATCTCCTAATTTCACATCACCAAGCCTACCAAGCTACGATCTTATGCAGTTGAGATACCTTCCGCAATGTATCACCGATGAAAAATATCAAACATCTCCCCCTGAACATCTGCCTTGCTTCGAAAATAGGATTCTCGGCCACCACAAACTTCATCGGAAGCGCTTTATCCAGCACCTGTAGGTCTTCATAGAACTCGAACAGATTCCTCCCAATCCACTCAGCTCCACACAGATGACAGACGTGGGCGATTCTTGATTCAAGAGCTTGTAGCATTCTATGGTCATCCCTATACAGTCCTGTGGTCATGCCATGACTGACAAGAATATCCGAGGAAAAACACAGGACAAAATGTGAAAATGTCCGTTCCGAAGATACTCGGCAAGACCGTGATTCAAATCTGGTCACCCCCTATGATAAGCTTGTTTTCTTCTTTATTGTCCATTCTGTATAAAGTAAATTGCTAATGTACCTCAACTCTCGCAGAAGATCCTGCTCTGATCCCTCGTATGATCCTTCGTTGTACGCTTCGTATAAAATGCTAAGTTCAAAAATAAGAACTGTATTCTAGAATAACGCCTCCATGGGTGACCTTTGGATAAATGTGGGCGAGAAGGTGAGCAGCGTTGGAAAAGTTTGCGATATTTCACGAAGTTCATCAAGGAAATCGCGAGTCGTATTGAGTTTTGGTGAACTTTTCCAATACTGAATGTGAGGATTCATCAAGCTCGATAGTTCCTTCGTAACAGCATAGTGTAGGTGTTTCACCATCCCCGTCGTATTGTTGGAATCAATTTGCTTAATATTGATGAAATTGTTGGTGTAGCCTTCCGAATTTATCACCAAAGGCAACCGTCGGGCATTTTTCACAATTATTCCATCATCGAAATCGAATCGTCTCTAGAGGTAACCCATTTCAGCCGTCTTGACTGCCGTACCGACAAGAACCGGCCATGGTGTTGATGAACTCGACTGAAGTGAGGCCCAAATAGAAGCTGTTCTATTTAGAAGCACGATCCGCTGAGATTTGTGCTGTGATTAGGAAGAGACGGACTTAGTTTTGCTAGGTTTGAAGAGATTCAAGAGATTCACGATTCACGAAAGATCCTCAACATCGGTGGGTACACGTTTGTTGTTTTTAAATTCTTGATTGGATCCTTGTATCACCAGTTTTATGATCCTAGGTTTTATGTATGACACTCTCTCACTAGCTTCATTTGTGAGTAAACAAAGTATTGAACCGAGTAGTAAACCTTAGCAACGATTGGCAAAATGTCAGCACTCAACAGTGATGCCGTTTTATGTTATATTGTTTGTTTCCTACTTATCAAAGTGTGCCTTAATGTGCCCATGCTGTGTTTCGGCACAGTGTGCAAAGTTGATTGTCCTTTGGAAAGACATCCATTTCCAGTCATCCCGATTCCAAAAATACCCATATTGTGGGGTATATGCCAGTATTTCCCACTTTTTCTGTAACCGGATGCCACCATCTTGGATTTCCGGTTCCCACACGTCACTGTGATTCCAAAAATACCCATATTGTAGGTCATTTTACAGTATTTTTCAGTCTTTCTCTAACCGGAGGAAATGCGGCTTCAGCTTGATTCGTTTGGGACCAACTATGTGATGGCTGTGTGGTCTAAGCATGTGTATGGGAAATTTTGATGCTGCCAATTTTAGTTAAATTTCTTAACTATTTAACTATTTTCATTATTTGTACTAACTATACGCCACAAAATAGCTGAATAAAGCCAGCGTCGAATGGCATATTGCACAACAAGTTTCACATTAATGCTTTGGATAAATATGTGTTCAAAACCTGACCCTTTTCGTTACATGTTCTATTTTCGGTTTTCACAAAGTGTACCCCCATATAGAAAACAAAGACGTAGTCCTACGTCAAAAAAAACACATACACAACACAATCACGTCAACGAAAATGAATAGAAAAAAGAAGAGTGTTTCAGACATCATCCAAGGAAAGTTTTGAAACCAGCCTTGCCGTTGAATTTCAATATGACTGTTTATCATAGAGCGTTTAAAAATCATGCCTGTACTCATTTATTTAATTTATAAAAAACAAAAGGAAGATATTTTATTCATTAGACATTAGCCACCCCAAAAAACAATCCACAGCTGAAAATCAGATACAATTTCTCTGTGGCAGTAATGAAAAAAAAAATAAACTTCATGGTCACCGCCTCCGAAAAATGAAAAGCTTAACCACCGAAAGTGTGTATGGTTTTCAATTTTCCTCCACTCATTCACAGCTCTTTTCTCATCCACTACCTACATGATAAAATTCGATACCTACTACGTACCGTTTGCACTTTCATTCGAACCCCCCACCCCCCTCCAATGCCAATCCAACAAGGCCACAACAAACAGCAATCAAAATCTGGACCATATCGATCATTCGACATTAATTCCATTATCGGCCGGCTTCTCTCCACCTTTTTATTTTTAATTTTTGGTTTGGAAATTTCCCCCTCGCCGGACAGTCTGGCTGGATCCATCCGATTGAGTCGGTCTTCGTCATAGAAAACTCCATAGGAGAGCAAGTGCGGTTGAATGAAAATCTTCCAACTCATCTAATTTCCTTCGTCTGCTTCTTCAGATATTTGGTACGTGGCGTGCGGTTTGTGCGGCGTCGCTGCGCTGTGGACTTCCGATTTCTACCTGACGCTGCTGGTGATCGTGGTTTTCCTCGCCGTTGGCTGCTGTGGATCGGTGCTCAGCGCCATATCGGTTGATCTATTTCCAACTAATTATCGGTAAGTGTTGTACACATACTCCAAGCAGTGCATTTTCGAACGTCATCCGATCATCATCATTACGATCATAAAGAAGCCATCCGGGCCGGGCCAGGAGGGATGTGTTGTTCGACAGGGTGCAAGCAGTGCGGAAGAATCGGTTCGGTTTGATTTGCCGACCGGGACCGGGGGAAAACACTAAACGATATCAGATTTGTACTCGCTCTTTATTGAAGAAGGAGATTGGAGCTTTCTGCGGGAGAAAGCGAGGCGCCTTCGTCTCATCGCAGTACAATAATTAGAAGAGTTTGAAATGCACCGCACCTGTTGCAAGCGCACAGATGATCCACCGAGCGGGCAAACGTGGAAAATTGGAGCCGATTGCAACGGGCGGATGACTGTGGGTTGGAATGGGTAAGTGATTTGGGAGACCCGAAAAATTAGAAATCAACGGCAGTACAATTTTGAAATTTATTTAGAAACTGGTGAACGTTTGCTATTGGGGAGGGAGGGACGGTATCAAAACATCAAAAGTGGCAGAAAGGTCTTTCGCTGATCACGTAAATCGACATGGACGCCGTTATCTACGAAACTGCTTTCGGATTCAGCTGAATAATGATCCGAACTGCTCGGAAGTCATCCAATATCGCTAATAAAATTTGTATGGTTTTTTTTACTTAACGACGGGTTCAGGGTATCCAAACCATTTGTGGAATAGTTCTATCATTTGGGTTATCATTCAGGTTTGGTTTTTTTATTAGGGATACCTATTCCAAAATAAAACCAGTTCTCAAACATGGAACCAGTCCTAATGTTTCAATGAACTCTATGAAAGTCTATAATTTTCAACTTTAAAACAGGAATTGGCATTGGCGTAGCTAATGGGGGTACCAAGGGGGCCAGACCCCCTCCAGAACTTTTGGTGTTTTTTTTTTGACTCACCGGTATTTTGTCAAGCGTGTCAAGTTTGATGTTACTATTAACAGCAATTAATAAAATTGAACCACAATCAACGATTTTTTTTAAATCTTTTATGCTAACTACTTTTCTTATGTTCTGGACTATAAGAAACAATTTTGAGAAATTATATTACATAGATTTTTAATCGATGGCATAATAAGACGTCTTCAGGCTCTACAAATTGGCCATGAGTCCAAGGACTTTCAACTTCTGAGAACTTCGTTAAACTTCAAGGACTTCTAATAAGTTCAAGGAACATCGTAGAAAATGAGGAAACTTAGTAAAAATTCAGGGAACTTCATAGATCTTCAGAAAAATTCGTAGAAACAAGGAACTTGGATAAGTTCTGAAAACTGCGTAGAAGTAGAACATTTATTTAAGTTTGACGAGCTTCGTAGAAGTCAAGGGAACATTATTTTATTTCAGGGATGCTCATTATTGATCGGCAACCGCTATTAAATGTCAGGGCACTTTTTTGTAAGCCTCATGGACTTGAAATAGTTGTGGAAATTACGCACAAATTCAAAAAAATTCGTTCGTGGAACTTCGCAGAAAATCAACGAGAAACGTAGAAATGCTGCAAACTTTGTAGAAGTTTTGAGAATTTTGTAGCATTGTGAGGAGCTGCTTAAAACTTCATATAAGTTCACGGAATTTTGTAGAAGATCTAAAAATAGTTCATTAAACTTCGCTTCAATTTAAGAATCTTCGTTGCAGTTTGTCAGAGATCTAATCTCAAACAAGCTACATGAACTTCTTGAAGGTTTTGGGAGCTTCGTTAAATTTCAAGGAACTTTCCAGATGTTCTATAATATTTGTGGCTGATAGGTGTCCTTCCAAACATGCAAAGATGTTCAGAGATCTTCGCAGAATTAAGAGAGATGGAACAAATATGGAATTTGGAATATTGGAGGATATTTTGTAAAACTTAAGTTACAGGATATGCTTTCAGACATCCTTCCTAGACAGTATATAGACGAAGATATTAGTAAATTTCTTTGGATATTTTTCCAAGAATTCAGATTGATCAAGTTCTGAAGATCTCCAAATTTTTAAAAATTCAAATTTTCTTTCAAGACTGTAGGTTATTCAGGAAGTATTATCAAAACTTTTCCAGCTAAGTGAATCTGATGGAATCTTGAATGATGAATCTATATTTTATGGACATGATTGTACATTCTCCATTGGGAAACCCATGTATTGCTGATTTAGCTATTTTGTCAAGAATTCGCGCTCCATGAATTAGATGAATTCCAGACATAAATTTCAACGAAGAGATGAAGATTTCTACATATACCTAACCTTATTTAACCGTAGTTTCGCAAAATAAAAAAAGGCCCTCTAGGCCCCCTCCAGATACATTTTCTAGCTGCGCCAATGCATTTTGCCCATTGGATATTTGGTCTATTCGACCTTTTGTATCATAGACCATTTGTCATTCGATGTTTTAACCATTCGACCTGTTGTCCCTCTTTGAATAGTTCAACCTTTTGTTCATTCGAGTTTTTGACCCCTTTTCATAATTCGATTTTTCGTCCAATCGACTATAGTCGATTCGACCTTTTATAAATTCGACTTTGTGCCCCTTCTGATCATTTGACCATTAATCTCCTTTCTCATCATCCGACCATTTGTCCAATCGACCATTTGTCCATTCAACCTTTTGTACTTTACATCATTTGTCATTCAACCTTTTTTCCATTCAACTTTTTGTACTTTAGATCATTTGTCATTCAACCTTTTTTCCATTCGACCTGTTGTCTCTCGTTGAATAATTAGAACTTTGTCCATTCGAGCTTTTTCCACCTTCTCATAATTCGACCTTTAGTCACTTTTGTCTACTCGACCTTTTGTCCACTTGACCTTTTGTCCATTCGACCATTTGTCGATTCGACCTTTTGTCCCTCTTTGAAACATACACTTTTTTTCATTCAACCTTTTGACTCCCTTCTCATCATTAGACCTTTTGTCTATTCGACTTTTTGTACCCCTTCTCATCATTAAACCTTTTGCTCCACTTTGAATCATTCGACGTTTTGTCCATTCGACCTTTTGTTCATTCGACCTTTTGTCCCTCTTTGAATAGTTCGACCTTTTGTTCATTCGAGTTTTTGCCCCCTTTTCATAATTCGATTTTTCGTCCAATCGACTATTGTCGATTCGACCTTTTATAAATTCGACTTTGTGTCCCCTTCTGATCATTTGACAATTAATCTCCTTTCTCATCATCCGACCATTTGTCCAATCGACCATTTGTCCATTCTACCTATTGTCCATTCAACCTTTTTCCATTCGACCTTTTGTACTTTAGATCATTTGTCATTCAACCTTTTTTCCATTCGACCTGTTGTCTCTCGTTGAATAATTAGAACTTTGTCCATTCGACCTTTTTCCACCTTCTCATAATTCGACCTTTAGTCACTTAGAAATTTTGTCTACTCGACCTTTTGTCCACTTGACCTTTTGTCCATTCGACCATTTGTCCATTCGACCTTTTGTCCCTCTTTGAAATATACACTTTTTTTTTCATTCAACCTTTTGAGTCCCTTCTCATCATTAGACCTTTTGTCTATTCGACCTTTTGTACCCCTTCTCATCATTAGATCTTTTGCTCCACTTTGAATCATTCGACGTTTTGTCCATTCGACCTTTTGTGCCTTAGACCTTTTGTCATTCTACCTGTTGTCCCTCTTTCAATAGTTCGACCTTTTGTCCATTCGAACTTTTGTCCCCTTTTCATAAGTCGATCTTTTGTCCAATAGAATATTTTCCATTCGACCTTATATACATTCGACCTTTTTTACTTTCGACCATTTGTCATTCAAACTTTTGTCCCTATTTGAATAATTCCAGCTTTTGTCCATTCGACCTTTTTCCCCCTGTTCTAACTGTCATTCAAACGCCCCTCGGTTGCTGCGATGGGTAAAAAAGCTACGAACAGAGAGTGACGACGAACAGCAGCGAAGTTTACTTTTAGCATTCTACTGCAGAAGAGATAGTTGTCATTTAGACGGAAGAGAATAAATTAGTAGATAGTAGCGCTGAGTTTTAGTTGGTTCCGTTCCCAAGATCCAAAGTGTCACAGTGGTTGACCGTCGTGTTCCGCCGTTTCCGATTGTATAGTGCCACAGTTTGTTGAACCGTATTGCCTTTATGTCCGTTTGGTCACAGAATCACAGTGTGTGGCTGAAGTGCAATCTTGTCGAAGAGATTACAGTCCCGCCAATGAACCTCGTTTTTCCGTTACAGTCCCGAACAACCCCCTTCCATAATTCGATATTTTGTCAAATCGACCCATTGATCTTTTACCCATTCAACTTTTTGTTTATTCGACCTTTTGTCCATTCGATCTTTTGCCCATTCCACCTTTTACCAATACGTATCTTCGACCATTTGTCCTTTCGTCCTTTTGTCATTCGACATTGTGTTATTTCACTTTCGTCCTCCGACCTTTTCATACAATTGATCTTCGTAGCAGCTTTTCAGATAACTTATTTCATAAATGAACTTTCTGGAAGTTTTGGGTACTTCGTTTCACGTTCAAGAAAATTCTTAGAAAAATTGATTTTGTTCAAACTAAGAGAGCTCGGAAAAAATTAACAATTATGGAACTTGGAAAAAAAATCAGGGGATTATTGCATACGCTATTAAGACACTTTGTAGAAATTCAGTTGTAGTTTGAACAAGTTTTGGTAAAATATTTAGAAAACAGGGAATTTTATAATACTAAAAGATAATTTATCCACTTTTTAAAACTTCAGTAGAATTCTGTAGAAGTTTAGAGAACTTTTTAGAACATCATAAAACTTTGAAAAAATTTAACGAACTCTAGGCAAATTGAAACTCGGACCTTTCGATGAATTTCTGGAATTTTTCATTAACTCCATTGAACTTTCTAAAACTTCAGAAGCTTTGAAAACTTCAGAAACTTTGTAAATTTTCAGAGGACATCGTAGAAATTCAAGAAATTCATCGAACTTCATAAAGGTTCAGCGAATTTCGTTGAAATTCACGGAATTTTGTTCAAGTTTGGGGAAGTTCGTTAAAGTTAAGGGAACTTAGCTTAATTTCAGGAAACTGCATAATAGTTCCGGGAACTTATTTTACTTTGGGGCACTTCGGTCAAGTTGGAATGGAATGGAGCATAGAATTCCGTAGAACATCAGTAAACCAGGTTCCTGATTTTTTTTTCTAGTGTTATTGTGATTAACATATTTATTTTGACGTAGGACTACGTCTGTAATTTCTATATGGGGGTACACTTTGTGAAAACCGAAAATGGAACATGTAACAACATTATGAAAGATTTTCAACGTTAATAACTCAGCTGTCCCTGGACCAATTTTAATAATTTTAACACCAATCGATCAGAAATATTTCTACGCATCTGCTTAATTTAAGACTTCATATTTTTTTGAATTTTAACTAATGAAAATTGCACGAATGTGCAACTGTTGCTATGATAGTTAAAATTATCACCCATTGCCTGCGAAAAGCAATTTCCCTAACACTGACTTCAAAGTTGAATTCCATCCGGTCGCATCATACGGTGTTTATTCAATCACCGCGTGGTGAGTGGTGGCGTTCTCCAGTACACAACGAAAGGCTCCCCGTAAGCAGCTAGCTATCAAGGCTGCCCACAACCGCTGATCGAATTCAGTTCCAATCACCGTGTGTGGTGTTGTCCGGTCGTCGGCATCAACAACAGCAGCAGCAGCAGTGCTTTCGGAACGTGGCGTTGACATTGTTCTCCAGTACACAACGAAAGGCTGCCTGCAAGCAGCGAGCTGCAGTCCACATGAGCATCCATAGAAGGAGGAAGAAGCCGCCCCACTATTGATCGCAATCAGTAGCTCTTCATGAGTCGCTGTGGACCACCTATGTCAAGCGCGTCATACAAAAGAGTATAAATAGAGAGAACCCCGCTCAAATTCCTATTCCTACACAAAACACAAGCTCCTGCTGTAGTTAACAAATAAGATTTATTATATAAGACCACGTAGTCCTACGTCACCATTGCGTACAACCCCATAGGGCTGTCCCTTGTAGTTTTTTTTTTAAATTGTCCATAATTTGTAGGGACTCCCATCTTCTTTGAAGTTTTCAGGACTTTGTTCTTGGAACATCAATTCAAAGTGCAATTTTCCTGAAGATAATTGAACTGATGTTTTCAAAATTATCCTGAAGTATTCGGAACTTTTCTCAATTCGCAAATTTTTGGCTGTTCATGGAACCACCTTTAAGTTCTAAGAAAATTTCCGATGCTCTCTAAACTTTCCAAAAGTTCTTTGAACTTTCCTGAAGTTTCTTGAATTTATTAAAAACGTTCCTGAAATCAACATGATGTTAATGGAACAGTCATCATCGCTCTCTGATCTTCATCTAAGTTCATGAAATTTTCCTGAAACTGCATGCAACTGCACTGAAGTTCTCGGAACTCACCCTTAAAGATCATTAAATTTGCCCGAAGTTCTGAACTTGAAAGTTCTCTGAATGTTTTGGATCAGCGTTGTAAAAATATCAAAAGATCTAATCTCACCAATGAACACGATCTCACTTGATTTTCGTAGACAAGAATCAACAAGCAAACAACTGCGGATAATATTACAAGCTTAGATACGGTAACTCTGAATATCAAGCAAACAAAACTCACCAACTACAATTCTCACCAAACCATTGGCGTTGACGGCACCGTTGAAAAATCGTCTCTTCTAGCAAAAATTGACAGTATCTTGCGGGAATTTTCGGTGGAGTAAAGAGATAGTACAAAAGCCGCCATGTTTCACGCACAGTCTGACGTTTGCTTACGTAATTTTCCATAGGAGTAAAGAGCTACAGAGTCGCCGTCAACGCCAATGGTGAGTTTGAGTTTCAAAATTTTTGCTTTACACCCGAACATGAACCGATTCATTGCTGGCAGCAGTAACTTCGTGTCTACCATCGGTAAAGAGTAAATCTTGATAGAGCTGGAATTAGGGCGTAACAACTTTTGTAAACAATGACTTCTCTCGATGATTCCTCGAAACTCAAGGCACCACCACGCCAACCAACACCAACATAACCAACGGGAAGGGGAAGTCTTCCCCTACCCGATGGTAACGTTGATTTGAGTGAGCGAGCCTTGGCTTTCTAGAAATCATCGAGAGAATTCATTGTTTACAAACAAGGTTGCAAAGACTCATTTCAGCTAAAATAATGTTTTTTGGAATAATAAAACCAAAAGATGGTATGATGGCATGTTTTACTTGTAACTTACAAGAAGAGGTTACAAAGTATGCGTTGGAAACATAAAACCTGTAAATTTTGCTTTCTATGAGTCACAATCAGCGATTTGCTGATCGCTGAGTGAGTGAGTGAGTGAGTGAGTGAGTTTGTGAAAAATCGCTGATTGTGACTCTCATGAAGTGAAATAAACAGGTTTAATATGTCAAACACATTCTTTGCAACCTCTTCTTGTATCCTACCAATTCAAAATTTGATCATGGCATCTAATTATTTCATAATTTAGAAAAACATTGTTTTAGCTGAAATGAGTATTTGCAACTTTGTTTACAAAAGCTGTTACGCCCTAATTCCAGCTCTATCTAGAAATAGAGATGACAAACTATCTCTAATAAAAACTTTATGGTTATTTTGCTTAACAACGTGTTCGGGGTATCATCCAAACCATTTATGGAATAGTTCAATCATTTGGGTTATCGTTCGTTTATGGTAATTTTTATTAGGGATGCTTTCTCTTTCTACGAAAACGATGTGCAATGGAATCAGTTCTGTGTTGAGTCTATTCGCAGCTACATTTGCACATGTTGTGAATAGTCTCGCAATATCAAAGGAGCTTGTAAAATCAATATCATGCTTGATATTTTGTTCCAATATCACGCGTGATATAAGGAGCCTATGAGAGCGGAAAAAATCATTTGAGTGATAATTATGCCATCACTGTTTTGGATATTTCCTAAAAGTTCTTGGAACATCTCTGAAGTTTTCGAAATTAATCTTAAAAGCTCTGAACTTCCCTGATTTATTTCTGGAGTTCCTAAGAATTCCTCTGATCTTTTACAGAAGGTCATAGAAATTCAAATTCAGTGTTAGGTTCCTAGATAGAAAATATGTTTTATCAAGTGATTCCATAAAAGTTGACACCAGAATTCAAATAAATAAATATTTCATTTAGATTGATCCTTTACTTTCAAATAACCGAAAATTTATACGGTTTCCGTTGAACCAATGGTGTGGAAATTTACACCACTACAACCTAACCCCCGGCCCATTCGGTGGCTTCCTAACAAGAGCACCTTGCTCAAATCAGTAAAACGCTAATCCATTAGGTACTTCCGCATTGAAGCGGATTTTCACCGCTTGCACCTCTCCTCTGACCCAACCGCCTCCCATCCCTTACCAGCCAAGGCGTAACGCTTTCTCGCGCTTTTCTCCGCGCACCTGTAACAAACAAAAAAACCGCTCTTCCCTTTCAGCATCGCATTCATCCAACCCATCAACCATCTCCACCACCGTCATCACAGCAATTATGAAATTAATCTTTAATACATACGATACGATTTTCCTTCCCTCATAATTACTCCGCCATCATCATCCTCTGGCTGGACCCTGCACTGCCTTGCACTCGATCTCCGACGAAAAACGCAAACAACCAAATTAATAAATGCAATTGCGTGCCGTAAAAAAACAACACACGCATCCAATCCAACGGTTTTTCCTCGTCGAACGAAACCCCCCCCCCCTGGTTGGTGGTGGTGCATTGGACCATCGCGCGCGCTGGGTGGAAAATCTCAACACCAACAATGGAAAACTAGGGCAATGGCGCTCTGTCTGATACTGATGACCGGCCGGCTTGGTGCAATGATCGGCAGCAACGTGGTCGGCCTCCTGCTCACCTACAACTGCAATATGATCTTCATCCTGTTCGGCGGGCTGCTGATTGGTAAGTGTCGTTTTTGTTTATTCAACTGTCAAATTAGTGTTAGCAGAAGTTCACAACTTCATTTATTTAACTGTTTACAAAAATCCTATCGCGAGCCCTTGAAATTTTCCATCAAAAATATATTCCCAACATTCTGTCGTAATAGACAAGCCGCAAAAGTTCAGAAGTTTATCATTACTATGGACATCTGGGAAATTTTGCCCACAAGTAGAGTTTAGTTAAAGACAGCCGACAAGCTTCGTTGGATAAACTACGACTCGTGCTGAAAACAACTTCTTTTTGCAACTTGTTGCATAAATTAATAGTTATTTTGGCACTCAGTGCTGTTTTGGATAACATTATGGCCTACTTTTCTTATCTAAAATAATCACAAACGAATGCGGGTAAGCTTATCAGGACTTTCCTCAGTTAAAGGGGGGGGGGATGATGTAATGAATTGCTTCCAGGAGTTTTATTTTAATTTTGCAGCGATTGGTGGGGCAATGGGAGCGCAAGTCAATCCAAAGCCGAGGATAAAGGAAGGGTACTGACTGAATAGTCTATGCGGACCACTTGAACGCCATGGGAAAAGGAAGGGATTGAAGAAGTCGATTATTGGGGGGTTTTTAGGAAATGACACAAGCGGACCCCGCATCCTAACTCTTTTGTTAATCTACTTAATGTTATTAGACGTTCGGAATTTTCTTATTTAAGTTCGTTTGATGATTATGATATCTCATTAGCCTAATTTAATAAATAATTGAAATATCGAATCTACCTTATCAATTATAACCCATGCTTTATTAAGTACCTAAAATTTAACGTGTTTCAAGTTGTTTTTGACTTTGACCTATATTTATTATATACTAGTTCGTCCCAGGTGACACGTTCAAGTGACTTAAATACTTCACTTTGAAGTTAGTTTCCTAGCTGATTTTTAAATTATATAGGGTATATGTTCCAACTACGCTCACACGTTTCCACTATGTCATCCCACAAAAATCACTTATCCCAAACCAAAATGAAGCATATATAAGATTAGAATTGTTCGAAAATTAGAAGAAAATGTAGGCATCGAAACGACTATCAGCTCCTACGCACTAGCAAGAAGAATGTTCAATCTTGAAGTAAATTCATGCTAAAAAAAAGTTGACTTTAGTGGCTTGACCTCTAAGCCCTTTTTTTATACAGGGAGGAATCTGCTCACAGACACCTGAGAAGGAACTCAGGGTGTGGGGATGGGAGAATTTCACTCCCGACCCACTAAACCTTACCCTGTGCGCTTGGCCCTTGACCTCCTCGAAACCACCCGACGGCATTACTTCGTGGGAGGGGCCGCTATAGCGCTATGGCACTTCTCGTTGTAATCCCGAAACCATGTGAGTGACCGCAGTCACCACCGCGCTCCAGCTCTCGGTGGTACCACAAATCTTAAGAACGATGTTATCCGGACTGGTATCCGCTCCGCATATCGCTAGCATAGCGCTCGATACTGGCTCGAAGCGTGGACAGGCGAACACAACGTGTTCGGCGGTCTCCTCGACGCCAGCACACGTGGGGCAGATGGGAGTACTTGTATGTCCGAACCTATGCAAGTAGTTCCTAAAGCAACCATGGCCTGACAGGAGCTGTGTCAGGTGGAAGTTTACTTCCCCGTGGCGCCTGTTGACCCAGCTTGATACGGAAGGTATCAAGCGGTAAGTCCACCTCCCTTTTGGGGAGTTTTCCCACTCCGATTGCCATCTCGCGGTCGACACAGCTCGCGCGTTGTTGCGCACCCCTTGAACGGTCCTCGCGTCATAGCACACCACGTCCTCCTTAATAATAGGGCTAATTGGCATCATCCCTGCTATGACACAGACGGCCTCTCTCGAGATAGTGCGGTATGCACTGGCCACCCACAAGCACATTATCCTGTGTGTGCTCTCTAATTTCCGCCTGTAGCAGTCAATATCCAGTACCGCAGCCCACGCAGGGCCGCCGTATCTGAGGATAGATACTGCGACCCCAGCGAGGAGCCTGCGCTTACTGGCATTCACTGCCGAGCTGTTTGACATCATGCGGGATAATGCCCCCGCAGCCGTAGACGCTCTCTTGCAGGCGTACTCGACGTGGCAGCCGAAGCTGAGCTAATCATGGATCATCCGCCGACTGTCAACGTCGCATGCTGTACTGACATGCGATTGTTGACTACGACCACTTCCGTCTTGTGATGGGCAAGCTCCAGTTTCCTGGATCTCATCCATTCCTCCACAAGCTTGACGCAGTGAGCCGCTGTCAGCTCTACCTCCTTGAGGGATTCCCGTAGACTACCAGCGTGACATCGTCGGCAAAACCTACAATTTTCACGCCTAGGGTTACCACCGCGCAGTAGCGAATGCCCCTTCGTTTCCGGTGGACTCTGGATGACGTCGCGGATGGCTTCCACCGTGGATCTGCCCTTACGGAATCCGTACTGGCTGCTTGACAGGCCGTCTACACCTTCGGTGTAAGCCGACAACCTGTTGAGGATGACCCTCTCAAGCAGTTTACCAGTGGTGTCCAGCAAACAAATGGGCCTGTATGCTGACGGGTCTCCAGGGGGTTTTCCTGGCTTCGGGAGCAGCACCAGCCTCTGCCGCTTCCACGCATCTGGAAAGATGCCTACGTGCAGACAGGTCTGAAAAATAGAACGGAACATGTCTGTATTTTCCGCAACGGCCGCCCTTAGAGCCACAACCGGGATCCCATATGTGCCCGGGGCCTTGCCCAACACCAGAGACTTGGCAATATCGCTAAGTTCTCTGTTCGTCACTCTAGACACTTCTCCCTGATCCGCGCCTGGGATCCGCGGCCAGGAGTCTACGTCCCTACGTGGAAACAAGAGCCCAACGATCGGAGCCAGTACCGCCGGCGATCTCTCCGGGGATGCCGCCACGCCGCGGGTCTTGGCCATGACCACTTTGTAGGCATCCCCCCATGGGTTCGTGTTGGCGCTTTGGCATAAGCTGTCAAAGTACGCACGCTTGCGTCTGGTGATCTCTTTATTGAGGGTCGCCTTAGCCGCTCGAAGAGCAACGCGGCGTTCCTCCCGAGATTCAGTCGTACGAGCTCGTTGCATCCTCCTTCTCGCCTGGAAGCAAGACGCCCTAAGGATAGCAATCGACTCGCTCCACCAGTACACCGGTCTATGGCCATGCCTGGGATAGGCTCTCCTAGGCATGGTTGTATCGCACGCCCTTGTCAGCGCTGCTACCAGTTCTTCCCCCGTCAGATCCGGGGTTATTCGCTCCCGCCTCAGTGCTTCGCCGAAGACCTCTTCCTCGAAAAACGACGTCCGCCAGCCTCGAGCGCAGGAAGGGTTTCCTCCTGCCACTCGCCTCTCACCTGGCCCACACTGTACCGAATCGCCTGGTGTAACCCTCATCGACCCTCCAGTGTAGATTGTCCTCCAAACACGGGCTGCAGTACGTCATGTCGATGACGGACTCTGCACCATTCCTTCTGTAGGTACTGACCGAGCCAGTGTTGGCTAGTACAACATCCAGTTTGGCCATTGCCTCCAGTAGGATGCATCCTCTCTGGTTGGTGTGGTGGCTGCCCCACTCCACCGCCCATGCGTTGAAGTCGCCCGCAGTGACCACCGGTCTTAGGCCGACAAGTACCGCAGTGAGTCTGTCCACCATCTGCGAGAACTGCTCGATAGACCACCTGGGCGGAGCACAACAGCTACTTAAATATACTCCATTAAGCCTGGCGATCACGAATCGCTCACTCGAGTTGGACACGACTACCTCCTGAATGAGGAAGCTCCCCATCGTGCATATCGCCGCCATCCCCAGCGCGTCCGTGACCCAATTCCCGTTGCCGGTTGCGACGCGGTACGGGTCGGAGATGATTGCGACATCCGCTCCCCATTCCGCTGCCGATTGCCATAGCAGTTGCTGGGCAGCCGAGCAGTGGTTCAGGTTCAACTGCGCTACCTCGAACATGGCTGAGCATTGCTCTTGGCCGGGGCAGCATTGCTTTTGGCCCATTGGCAGCGTGGGCCACCTACCATGTGGTTGGTAGGGGATTTCCCTTTCTCGGCGCATATAGTGCACCTCGGCGGCTTTTAGCAACCTTGTGCCTTATGACCCTCCGAGTCGCACCATCTGCACAGCTTGCTTCTGTCGGTGTTCGAAAGAGAAAGCTGGGGGGACGTGCTGTCAAATCAGCCTACTGATCATTATTGTATGAAACTGGTTCCAAACGTAAACAAACGCTGTATGTTTCTTATGGCTTGTTTACGTTTGGAACCAGTTATGCGAGGTAGGCGACGATTGTTCGTATTTGACAGCCACCTCCCCCCCCCTTGAGAGAAAGTCGACGAGAGAATCGATCAATGTTACTTAGGACCTAATGCAATGGTCAGTTTGCTTTGATGTCACCAAATAGACGAGTGCACGGATGGATTTGAGTTCACTCGCTCGACAAAAAGTGACACAACAGTGGGGCCCTGTTTACTAAAAATGAACACATGAATAATACTCGCGTAACATTTGAAACGGGCCTATCAACTTTTGTACACAAAACTTGTTAAGCCCTTTTCGCGTGAACCGAATACGCCCACGCAAATTAACAACACCATCGGGTAGGAGAAATTCTCCCCTTCCCGATAGTGCTCTTGGTTTAAATATGCATACTTCGGTTCTCGTGACAAGGACCTTGCAAGTTGTTTAGAAAAATTGATAATCCATTTTCAAATGTTATGCGAGCATTATTCGTGTGTTCATTTTTAGTAAACAGGGCCCCACTGTTATGTCACTTTTTGTCGAGTGAGTGAACTCAAATCCATCCGTGCACTCGTCTATGGGAGATTTTATTAGTACAGCTATCCCCAGAAGAACGCGTTACCCCCTGAGTTGCATCCACCGCTTTTTCTCGGCGGGGCTTTAACCAGTCGGTCTGATAGGAAGATTGCCGCAAAAGCTCAACGCAGATGTCGCCACTGCATGATTTTTTTTTTAATTTTTTATTAAAGAGATTTTTAGCCTTAGGCT